TGTTGCTAGTTAGCCAACCAGCAACGGGCATGAAACTGTATGCAGATGGAGAAGGGCAATCACCCTTAATGGGCGATCAATGGTGAAGGGCAATCACCCTTAATGGGCGATCAATGGTGAAGGGCAATCACCCTTAATGGGTGATCAGGATATGCATAGGGGATTAAGGGGGGGGGAATACAAAGAACACAACAATCTCCTGTTAAATACATACCCTATGGCCACTTTCTCTTTAGATTGAATTGGTGCAAACAAATAAAGTGTGCTTTATTTAACTGGAACTTATTCAACAAGGGGCAACTGGTGGGTTGCACAAGACACTTTGTCATAGTTTCAAATTCCCTTTCCTGGTTAAACAAAGACTAGCAGTGAGGTAGTACAAGAACCACAGCTTGCTGTCAGACACAGACCTGGGTTATGGGGTCATTGCTCTTGGGGGTCGGGGAATAAGATGAAGCAGCATCTGCTTCAATTAACCCTGTAAAATAACCTGATGGGTCTTGACATTCATGTTGTGAGCCGCACCTCTTGGCATACTTTGGTGGCTGGTATCCTACAGGAAAAAAAAAAGACCTTGTGGTTGCTGTTGGAAAAAATAAATATAATTTTTCACTTCACCAACATTGTCTTTTGTTAATGATGGGAGGTCCTAGATAGATTACCTTTTCCTCATTTGGTCAGGAAGTTGGGCCAGGCACACAGCACATCCACATTATTCCAAATTCTTGCTTCTTTCATGTAAAAAATGTGTTGGATAGCAAGACTGAGACCAGGGCAGGGTGGTGAGGTCTGAAATTGACATACCTGCTCCCCTAAGAGCAATCCTGATATCCAAAAGAATCAGCAGGCTGTCTGGTAATGCATCGGCAATCCCATTATTAAGCATTTTCCTTGCCTTGTAATCCAAGTCTTGTAGAGGAGCTTGAGCTTGAAGTAATGAGTAACATTGCATAAACTGTTGATAAAGGATTGTCCCTCATTGTTCTTCTTGAACAATACTTAGGGCAACCCTTGCATTTGTTCCAGGGTCCAGATTAATTTAGTCAGTTCTATTGTTTGGATACCTGAGACACTAATGCAAATTTTGGTGGGCTGTGGAAGCTACTTATTCCAGGATTCCTTCAGTCCTGAAAGGTGCATCCTGAGCCAAAGAATCCCTGGACATGTTATTGCTACAATGGCTGACGCCATTAACAATGATTGGGTACAGTATTGAATAGGTTCAGAGAGAAGAAGAAATAAATTTCCCCTCAGGTTTCCTGGGCCTCATGAGGTGAAGGCTATGGCCCTTGCTCTGATAGAGCTAGTAAAGATCAGGACTCAGAAAGCAATGTACCCTGTAACCACTTCCAGGAGAAAATTCAATTCAATCATCATAGTGGTGAAAAAAAAATTTTTAGTTGGGAAAGTCAGTTAATATATAGAGTTCCTTCCAGATTCAAGCCAAGGGTCCTCATGTCTTGAAGGTCATTTATTTAAGTCATCCATGTGTGGAACCTTCCAGAAAGTGACTACATGTATTTATCCCATCTATTATTGAATAAGGCTGTATACAGCCTTTGAAAGAGGTGCTTTGAAACTCAAGTGGAAAGAACCATGGTCCATAGAGCTACATCTTTTGTAAGATTTGTGCAACTTGGAGACTTGGAATTTTCTCCCAACTAGTTCCATCTGTTAATGACTTTCCATAGCCTTCTTTGAAAGCTCATTGATGTCACCCCCTCTAAAAAAAAGTTATATGAATTAAATATAATTATTATTTCACACTATTAAACTTACCAACTGCTTCAAAGAATATGGTCATACATTGGTCATGACGACCAGAGCAGGTAGCTCTCTTCTAATACCACCTACGACTTAAGGTCCCAATGATTTGGAATAGTTCCATGGTTACCTGTCCTCTGAATATATTTAAATCATCCCAAACTCAATTTATTTGTTTATTTGTGTACTGTCTTTATTTATTTATAAAATTTATTGGCCTTATCCCAGGGCAACACTGAACGTCTTACAATATTAAAAGATAAGACTATGCCAGTGGTGGCGAACCTATGGCACGGGTGCCAGAGGCGGCACTCAGAGCCCTCTCTGTGGGCACGCGTGCTGTCGCCCCAGTCCTAGGCCTTCAGCTGGGTTTTATAAAACCTTTTCGCTTTAGGCCTCCGCCGCCGTGTGCAAAAAAAAAAAAGGTTCAATCAATTTAGTCAATTTCAACTTCTTGCGGGGAAAAAAAAAGATCTTGCAAAGTTGGAATTGATTGATTGAACTTTTTAGTCCCACCCAGTCTGCCATTACCACCGCAGCCATGCCCACCCAATGGGCCACACCCACCCAATGGCCACACCCACCTGGCACCCGACGATGCATAAATGGGTTTTGGGTTGCAGTTTGGGCACTCGGTCTCTAAAAGGTTCGCCATCACTGGACTATGCAAAACCTAGATGATATAAATAAAATACTATAATAGATCCAATTATTCAGCCCTAACTAAAAGATGGGGAGGGGTGAAGGGAGGAGGAGGATGAGAAGGGGGGGAGGTGGGATATGTTATTAATCTATCAGCCACCCCCAACTTGAAACCCCTCCATTGCAGCCCCAAGCCAACTGGCAGAGCTAGGCCTTTAAGCTCTTGTGTAAGGTCAGGAAGGTTGGATCCAACCTCACTCGGGGGGAGGGCGGTGAGATGTTCCAAAGGGCAGGTTCAATGGCAGGGAAGGCCCTTCTCCTGGACCTTGCCAGCCAGAATTCCCTGGCTGATGAGGCCTGCAGCATGCCTCCTCTGCCAGCACAGGTGGGGAGTGTCAATCCCAGTGAGACGGTCCTTCAAGTAGCCTGGACACATGTCATGAAGGACTTTAAAGATGATTACCAACACTTGAATTGTACCTGGAAGCAAACCAGCAGACTGAGCAGCTTGCAGAGCAGTGGTGTTACATGGGCCATCCTTTGGGCCCCAACAACTGTCCATCCTGTCACACTCTGCACTCTGCACTACCTGTAGCTTTCAAATGATTTTCAAAGCGAGCCCCATGTAGAGGGTGTTGCAATAGTCCAACCACGGGATGACTAGAGCTTGAAATACCAAATGCAGATACTCCTGACCCAGGAGGGACCGCAACTGGTACATAACATGAAGTTGTACAATAGCTCTCCTAGCTGTGATTGCCATCTTCAAGCAGGAGTCCCGCGTCCAGGAGAAACCCCAAGTTGCGGTCTGGATCTGTCTGGGGTAGTTCTGTGCAATTCAGAACTATAGATGTCAAAGTCCTGGGCCTTGGGGCGCCATGTACCCAAAGCCATTTCATCTTGCCAGAGTTCAGTCAGAACCTGTTGTCCCCCATCCAGGCCCCCACAGCCTCCAGACATCATGAGAGGGCAGCAACAGCATCATGTGGGCCACCAGAGGTAGAAATGTAGAGTTGGATATCATCAGTGTATTTTAGATATCTTAAGTCATTGCTATGTATGATCTCACCCAGTGGTTTCCTGTAGATGTTAAAAAGGAATGGAGACAGTACTGGGCCTTGCTACATGCCACAAGGCTGAGGGCTGAATCTCTCACTCCCTAAACACTGATTGGGAGGGGCCTTGGAAAAAGGAGCCAGACCAGCGCAAAACCATGCAACAAAGCCTCAGTCCTCATAGCCAGCCCAAAAGGATACCATGGTCAATAAAACTGAAGGCCAGTGAGAGACCAAGGAGAGCGAGGATGGTTGCATTACCCCAATCCCAGTCTCATCAGAGATCATCAACAAACATGATCAATGACATTTTGCTCCATTAACCAGGCCTGAATCCTGATTGAAAGGAGTCTAGATAATTTGTCTTATTCAGGATCCTATGAAGCTGCTAGGCAACCACTTTTTTCACCACCTTTCCTAAAAAGGGAAGCTTGGAAACAGGATGAAAATTGTCCAAGCAGGTAGGTTTAAGTAATCATTTTTTTAAGGGTGGGGTGAGTCAGGGTTTCCGTAAAAGGCCCGAGAAATATCAGCTGTTAATCACTGCCTGAACCCACCTGCCATTCACTGTCCTGGAGGCTTTCACCATCCTGGAGGGACAAGAATCTAACTGACAGGTGGTGGCGCTGATAGCATCAAGGAACCTGTCCATGAATGAATGAATGAATCTGAGTGACTTTGTCTGTCAGGGGTTGAACAAATTCTTCTGCACAGCCCTGAAGATGATCACCTGAGCTCCCCTGTCCCAACAGGGAACAGATGATCTGGAACAGGCCACAGGGCAACACTCTGAGGATAAAATAAGGGAGGAGGAATAAAGCTGTCACCCACTCTTACCACCATGAGGTAGGCCTTAATAGCAGCTCTATGTTGTGTCTGGTTGGAGACATCCTTTGTTGATTCCTAGAAGGGCATAGTTCTGTTAGGGAAACATCCCCTTCTGGGACCACCCAGAAGTTGGTTCTACGTGACAGGTTGGCTCCTCATCCCCACTACAATGGTGGGTGAGAAACAATTTAAATTGGCATTTAAAGGAAGCAACTGAAGACCAGGGCCTCCTAGAAATCTGCTAACTAGCAACTGAAGTGGGAAACTATAAACTGTAAGGAAAATGATGGAGACATGTACATGCATATTGCTGTGAAATAGTGTTAAGACTGTTCTTTTCCTTTTCATTTTGAGTTTCGACAACTGGCATAGTGTTGTGATGTTCAGGGATATTATGTAGACCTGTGTTAGCTTTTGTGCAACATTATCAGTACCTGAGGAAACTCCAACCACACTGATTTGGTGTAGACCCAGGATACACACAAAAAATCCCTTATTCATAGTACGCAATGAAAGATGACAGGTTTTTTATTTATTTTCCCATTCATATAAGATGGATTGAGAATATTATTGGACATCACATTCCAAATCGCTCTTGAATTTCAGACAAATCACATCCAGTGCAATCAGTTGAGGCCAATGATGTCATTCAGAAGGTCTCCAGTTGAAAGTGAACACTAACGGTTGCATCTGTCATACTCACAACAAACAGCACTAACTCCTGACCTTGGTACTGAATTTAAAACTTGACATTCATACAGTGAGCCGCATCTCTTGGCATACCTTGGTGGCTGGTATCCTACAGGAAAGAAAAAGAGTTTGTGGTTGTTGTTGGAAAAAATAAATCTAATTTTTCATTTCACCAACATTGTTGTTCATTAATGATGGAAAGTCCTAGATAGATTACCCTTTCCTCATTTGGTCAGGAAGTTGGGCCAGGCACACAGCACATCCACATTATTCCAAATTCTTGCTTCTTTCATGTGAAAAATGTGTTGGATACCAAGACTGAAACCGGGGGGAGCCACCACTCCAGACTTTCACTGTATAGACGAAGGGACTCTCGTTAGGACTATAGGTTTTCTTAGTCGTCCGACAGACCATGACGTAGTCGTTAGGGTAATAATTCGTAAAACGAACGGGATATTAGTTTCAGAACATCTCCTCGAACTTGAACTTCATTACTCATTGTAACGTATTTAACAACCATTTCCTAACAGGGATATTGTTCTTCTTGAACAATACTTAGGGCAACCCTTGCATTTGTTCCAGGGTCCAGATTAATTTAGTCAGTTCTATTGTTTGGATAACTGAGACACTAATGCAAGTTTTGGTGGGCTGTGGAAGCTACTTATTTCAGGATTCCTTCAGTCCTGAAAGGTGCTTCCTGAGCCAAAAGATCCCTGGACATATTATTGCTACAATGGCTGACGCCATTAACAATAATTGGGTACAGTATTGAATAGGTTCAGAGAGAAGAAGAAATAAAATTCACCTCAGGTTTCCTGGGCCTCATGAGGTGAAGGCTATGGCCCTTGCTCTGATAGAGCTAGTAAAGATCAGGACTCAGAAAGCAATGTACCCTGCAACCACTTCCAGGAGAAAATTAAATCATCATAGTGGTGAAAAAAATATTTTTAGTTGGGAAAGTCAGTTAATATATAGAGTTCCTTCCAGATTCAAGCCAAGGGTCCTCATGTCTTGAAGGTCATTTATTTAATTCATACATGTGTGGAATCTTCCAGAAAGTGACTACATGTATTTATCCCATCTATTATTGAATAAGGCTGTATACAGCCTTTGAAAGAGGTGCTTTGAAACTCAAGTGGAAAGAACCATGGTCCATAGAGCTACATCTTTTGTAAGATTTGTGCAACTTGGAGACTTGGAATTTTCTCCCAACTAGTTCCATCTGTTATTGACTTTCCATAGCCTTCTTTGAAAGCTCATTGAAGTCACCCCCTCTAAAAAAAGTTATAGGAATTAAATATAATTATTATTTCACACTATTAAACTTACCAACTGCTTCAAAGAATATGGTCATACATCGGTCTTGACGATCAGAGCAGGTAGCTGTGCTAATACACCGTCCACCACCACGACAATTATAACATTTCAGAGCATCCACAGCTGAAAGAGAGGAGGCAAAACAGCAGTTCAATCCGTAATTAGGGAGTCGATAGAAAAACGGTTGTATAACGTAGTTACCCTAAACCCTCATTTTAAAAGTTTTTAGTAAACGTACTTTCCAAAACCTTTCAAGGTCGAGATATCGAGTTAAAATTTAAGTTATTCTAAACTCTTAGGTCTGAAGACCCCTTTTACCGTTTACCTTCTGATTTTCACCTTGACGACTGGTACCGTCTTACAAAAGCTGGTGAGTAGACGACTCTTTGTAATTCCCTTCCAGAAAAGGAAAGGACTTCAGATTACCCACAAGAGCTCCAGATAACTGCTCCTTATAGGAAGACAGTGTTGTTCTCTGGCAAGTTTATGGCTCTGGCAGAAGAGACTGCTCAAACTGATCGAACCCTGATTTTGCATACTTCCTTTTCAAATCATATTTAAAAATTGTTTCTTAACTGCTTTTCAGCTGTTTTGGAACTTTGGGATCAACAAGTCTAAAACACCACATGAGTCTCCTTCTGTCCCTAGTGAAAGAACTTTTAAATACAAGTTTAAGATTTTTTTAAAAAATAATTAATAAACAGCAAAAGGATGATTAGAATTTTGATTTGGAAAGTTATAAATGGAATAAAGATCCAGATGGATTCAAAATAAGATTTTTGAATTAATTGTAAGAATCTTTCCTGTTAAAAAATGCTTTTGCTTTGAATGCTTTTGCTTTTTTAAATGATAGGATGAGACTTTGAAGCTTGGACAATAGGGAGAAGTAGAACAAACTAAAGATTACAATTAAAGAGAAGAACATTTAAATTTGACTTGCTATTTCAAAATGGAGTAAAATATTTTAACATTGAGCATATTGAACGATATTTTAGAACAATGGACCCAGAAGTTAATTTAAACAGTTATTACCTATATAGATAGACCGTGTGAGATGGGATATGGGAAGATAGGACCATTTATTGTGTTTTTAAAAAAATCTGTTAAGTTATTAAAATTGTTTATACTTGGTGAGTAGAGGGAAGTCATTTCTTTATATATTTTTTCTTTTTGTTTACTATATTCTTATTTTTTCCTTTTTCTATTTTTTCCTTACTTTACCTTCTATTTATTTTTTATTTTTTATTTTATATAAGTTTTTTTATTGTTGAAAATATAAATTTTAATAAAATTACTGTTAGAGAATTCAGATATGAAGCTTTCTCTTTAGAAATTTAACAATTAAGAAACATTTACATTTCCTTCTGTAACAATGTAATAACTTAATGTAAAGTAATATTAATAGTATCGTTTAAACAGGGAAGTTGTATCATGTCCAATGTGTCTTTTTTGTCTTTAATTGTATTGTGTTGAATGTGTCTTTTGTGTTTTTTAATTGTATATTCAATAAAATTTTGAAAAAAAAGTATAAATTTTAATAAAATTACTGTTAGAGAATTCAGATATGAAGCTTTCTCTTTAGGAATTTAACAATTAAGAAACATTTACATTTCCTTCTGTTACACATTCTTCTAAATATGTTTCATGTCGCTTATTTACAGGGGAACCCAGGTAGGCAGTTTATACATATACACAAGTGTATGTGCCAAATATGTTGAAGAGGAGAAGGAAAAAAACCCTGATTAGAATCAGAATTGTACATTCGCAACTTTCTTTCCTAGCAAATAAAAAAAAATGTTCTGTCTTATTTTAGACAGAGGATCCATCTCAGATGCAAACATGGATCCAATAAATAGCCTATCACACAGTTTATCACGAGAAGTAGTGGACAAAAACATTATAAACAAAGATGAGAAAACTGTCATATTTAAATAATAGGTTTAGAGCTCTTTAGCATTCCTTGATCATGAAAGTTTAAAAAGTCAAATCCCCTATTGTTTTAGGCAAGGCAGGAAAAAGTTTAATCTTTCTTATTGAATGCAACCCTTTAACAACGGGTTCTCGTAACTGCAGTGAAGCACCTGAATCGCACCCCGAGGAAAAGGAGGAGAGAGAGCACAGGAACATTGGTAGGAAGGAAGGCCTAGGAGTGGGCGGACTTGGCCAATTCTGGCCATGGTGCCCCAAGTGCCTCCAAAGCCCCCTTTGATCTCAGGCATGCTTGTGCTGCCTTCTGGATGTAGGACCTCCAATCTAGGATCTCTCTGTTTTAAGAGGAAGGGACTGGGTCTGTGAGAGAAGAGCGGTCAGTGTTGCGTGATCGTGACTGATAACTTACCTTGCGACCAAAGCATTACAGCAAGAACACACAGGATTATTTTTCTCATTGTTTTTCTGGAAACGGAGGGCCTGCAGTCAAGAGTTGGAAATCAGGGTCACTTGCTGTTCACAGTATCTTTTCTTTCGATTTTCACAAAGGGCTCTGTGTACAATGAATTTAGAGATTACATCTAAGTACATAACCCTATTTAATATTTTGGGCTATTTGGGATGTTAAGAGCAATTAAAATGTATATTCTAACAAAACCAATTATGTTAATTGTTCTTTACATTCTTTGTGGCGCTATGTTTTAGGAATTATCTTATATTTATAATGGGAAATGCTCCTCATAAAAAGATCCTGTTTTTTACATATCAAAGGTAGGAAAGGGTAAGCCCCCAGAAGTTACTGACTACATCTCTGTGTAGCATTATCAGCCTTGCTAGCCAATGTTAATAGATGCTGGAATGTGTGGTCCACTATCATCTGGAAACACTGCAGCTGCCCTCCCTAATTCTTGCTATAGTTTTTTTTTTCTAATATATTCAGGCTGAGGAAAATGAAATAATTCAAAATAATAAAAATAATCATAATCATAATACTTATAACACAGCAATAACATAAAAACATTGTTTTCTCAGGTATATTAAACTTGTATTTCTTCCTCTAATTTAGAACTTAAGATCCATACTCAGTAAAAAAATTCTCCTATATATTTATTATATAAATAGGCATGTAATGAATTAAAAATATGTCTGAGAAAAGCTGAATCTTACCTTTGGTACAGCTGAGATAAAACCAAGCTATGGTTTGCTAGCCCTGAGTACAGCTGCAAGTATATATATATACGGTAGTGCTTTCTTATCTCTTCTCCCCCCCTTTTTTTGTCTGATTTTGAGAAATTTTTGGGAAATTCTTACTCTAAAATCACTTTTCCTGCAATAATTGTGATGTAGATGTTTTTAACAGAAAGGGAAATCCATTTCTTACTCAATGGGTAAATAACTCTGTAAGGATCATAACTCAATGTTCTGGACTTGCAAAGCACATTGCATGCTGCAGCCAAGTGGTTTTGTTTATTTGTGGGGTAAGCAGACAAGATGTCAAGATTACTGCTGATGTTTTGCCTGTTCCTGATTGGTTAAAATGAACATTTTTCCTCCACCCGCCCCTCTAAAGTACGCTAAATATTTGATCTCCTTTTAAATATATACTGTGGAATAATTTATAAATTTGTATAACTGTTAGAAATATTATATAGAGAATCATATGTTAATTAACCCAGGATTCCACAGAGTTACTGATCAACAGCCTCTGAAATTCTTTAAACTCAAACGTAAGTATTAATTAAGCACTTATTTCAAGTTATAAATATACACTAGCAAACACACAAAATTCAATTAACACAATGTAAACATAATTATAATGCTCACAGTTCAAACGAAGAGACTCAATCCAAATCACTTAATTTAATCAAGCCCTTCTCTGGCTCAACACATACACATGCCCACGCCCCTCAAGTGTCATCCTAGAATCAGCACGTACACACTTCCACACCCACACTTTACTAAGCTCCCCTATAGAGCAACCCTTCTGTACCCCATTTTCTCTGTAGCTGCCCCCATAGGCAAACCTCTTTGCCTTTGAGATTAAAATAATTCTTCTTTCCTCACACCTGTCTGGATTTCATTTTTATTTATTCTTGTGCAACACTGGCTCAGCTTGGAACCCCAAATTATTCTTCTGACAATACTGTATGGCTACTTCCTCTTTGAACTGAATTGGTACAGACACACAAAGCTGTGTTTTATTCAACTGGGGCTTACTCAATAACCCAAAGATAGTGGGCCCATACAAGACATTTTGTCATGATTTTATGGTTTCCCAACCTGGTTAAACAAAGACTAGCAGTGAAGTGGCACAAGAATCATTGTCTGCAGCCAGACACAGACCTGGATTATACTTGCTGTTGCTGTTGAGGAATAAGATAAAACAGTGTGTAGTTCAGTTAACTCTAAAGAAACCTAATGTACCTGCTAATACCACCTACGGCTTAGCCTGCTTTGTGAACCTGGCTACTTTCTAACCAGAAGTTATTCTCAGGCTTATGTTGGCCCTTCCACTGTATGTGAATGAGCTTAACCACCCTGCATGTAGCTACATCTTTGCAAATTATCTATTATGTTGATGGGAAAAGAAAAGTGGATATAAGCAAAAACTTTATAGGAATGGAGAATCTTTTTTGATCACTGCTGGTAATTTTTATCTGAATTATAATTTTGGTTAAAATCTATGTTCTTGAATACAAAATTATTCAATCTGGTATCTGTGTCAGTGCGTCAGTATATGTTCAAGTATATCCCCATCACCACAAATGCGTATAGGTATAAGCATTTTTCCCCCTGTTATTTCTTCTGTGGTTTCCATATTGTACTAAGCAACCTATGGATTGGTTCCCAATGTTTTGACACACTGAGAGATCATAAATAAATGTATGTTTGAAATTCATAGTCAAAGAAAAATGGTGAACTGAAGCAATCAAATAAAGCTAACAAACTCTGCTTATCAAGATTTCAAATATGTTTATGATTACTCTTCCAGGATTATTACTAAGTTAAATTAAATATACAGTGTAAACAGAAGAAATAATGATCTAATCTGAGTAAGAACCTTCTTTCATAGGGATGTGATGCAAGTAATCCCCTTCTGTGCATTTTTCAAAGCAGAAACACTTAATACATACATATTCCTCTGTTATAGTTTTGTAGTTTCTCCCATTTGCTTTAGCTTTTGTCTCTGCTCATTTCCCCTCCCGCCCGCAGATTATATTTTATCTTTTGTTAGTATTATTTTCTTTTTCTTTAATTAAAAATAAAATGCATTATACTAAATTTTGGGAATTGCTTACCATCGCTCTCTACCTTCAAATTTTAGGAACATGTGGAATTTTTCTTAAATTCATTATTTTATTATTTTTTAAATAGTGCCAAAAAGAAACTTTGTTGTACTTGGCTAAGTTTCAACAGTTGCACAGCTGAATGTGTGTTTTGCAGAAAAATTAGGTCTTGTTACACCCTAAAAGCTAATTTGTTATTGGATAGGCTTTTACAGACTACAGTCCATAAAAAGTATATAGAATATATTTGCACCTGATAATGATAAATGATTAGCCTTTCACTATTTACAATATATAATACTTTAGGTAAGATAACCTTTATTGACACTTTTTTCTATAAATATACTGGCACACGTTAAAAATGAAATTCTGATTCCCGCTTTCAAAAGAACATACATAAAAACCTATACATGCACACACGTGTATACTACACACACACACACACACCACACACACATGCATATCACCCCAGTTAGTATAACTATTGACGAGAATTATGTACATTTGGAGGATGGTGCCCAGGCTGGAAAAAGCTGTTTTTAGGCAAATAATTCTCCTTCAAAAGGTCATCAGAGCAGTGTCACTGGAAGAAAGAACAAGTGTAAGCACAGATATTGCTGTCTTCCTTGTGTGTGTTTTTTTAAACAAAAAGGTACTTTCTCACCTGCCTTATTCTCCTTACAGGAAAAAAAAGATTAAAGGGCAGGGGAAGACTTTTTAGTTCTGAATGTACTAATGCAACTGAAGAACTAATTCATGATATCCTGAAAAGAGCTACTCACACTAATTTCCCTGTCACCCAATTCTTATATACAATCAGAATTTTGACTGTCACCTCCTTGTGCTTCACCAAACCCATTTCATTCTAACAACACTAAAAACCTCTGAACCCAGTGTCTGAGATACAAAAACCCCTCACTATCTAAAATATATACACAATCCCCTAGAGTAGGCATGTCAAACTTGCAACGTCACATGACATATCGGGACTTTTTCTCCATTGCCAGCAATGGGGTGGGTGCAGTTTCGGCATGATGCATCCGGCCTGCGGGCCGGCAGTTTGACATGCCTGCCCTAGAACCTACACAAGCTACATGTAATGCTTTTTTCTGTCTTGTACAAACTTTTCTACAAGATGAAATATGAGCATCTCTTATAGTATATCTCCCTGGTCTAAACAATGCCAGTGCTCTTATTAAAATGTTATTTCCATGAGCTCAATGTTTGGCATATAATATACTAATTACATTTGATATGTTGATTGGGAAGTAAATGGCTAAATAGTTTCCTGATTCTTCCTTGTAGATAAAAGGGACAAAAACAATTAGACCTCAGTCGCCGAGCATTTCAACTAAGGGGTCAATATATGTAAATAATACTGCTAGTATACAGCTTAAAAGATTTTAGCAGGAATAAAATCAGATCCCAGACCTTGTTATCTTTCAATTGCCCAGTTAGCTGTCTCACTTGATCCGTTCATATGGTCAGCAAACCAAGAATGGTCTCCCTATCAGTCTTTCATCTGCAGTTGTGTATATAATTTTATCCCTTTGTTGAACATGNGGTGGTGAGGTCTGAAAGTGACATATCTGCTTCCCTGAGAGCAATCCTGATATCCAAAAGAATCAGCAGGCTGTCTGGTACTGCATCAGCAATCCCATTATTAAGCATTTTGCTTGCCCTATAATCAAAGTCTTGTAGAGGAGCTTGAACTTGAAGTAATGAGTAACATTGCATAAATTGTTGGTAAAGGATTGTCCCTCATTGTTCTTCTTGAACAATACTTAGGGCAACCCTTGCATTTGTTCCAGGGTCCAGATTAATTTAGTCAGTTCTATTGTTTGGATAACTGAGACACTAATGCAAGTTTTGGTGGGCTGTGGAAGCTACTTATTTCAGGATTCCTTCAGTCCTGAAAGGTGCTTCCTGAGCCAAAAGATCCCTGGACATATTATTGCTACAATGGCTGACGCCATTAACAATAATTGGGTACAGTATTGAATAGGTTCAGAGAGAAGAAGAAATAAATTTCCCCTCAGGTTTCCTGGGCCTCATGAGGTGAAGGCTATGGCCCTTGCTCTGATAGAGCTAGTAAAGATCAGGACTCAGAAAGCAATGTACCCTGCAACCACTTCCAGGAGAAAATTAAATCATCATAGTGGTGAAAAAAA